TGTCATATGCACTTTAAAACAGATGCTTAGACTGACTGGACCAGTTTGAATTTGAACTTTGCCACTTAAGTACTAATTGTTAGTGGTAACACTTCTTTTCTTTGAAAGACCTAAGTTATCTTTTAAGTTCCAAGGAAAGATCTTAATTTCAATGTGAAAAATAGCACTACAACCCTAACAACTACATCTACTGCAAAAAACTTAACTAGAACCATAAATTAAAAACACACTTTAAAATTATTTGGAACTTTTTACACAAAGTGTATGGGAAAATTATCAGATGAAAATACTTTAACCAGGGATACACCTGATATAGCAATCAAATAGCAAAGTTTAATGTCTTTACATGGGGCATGGTAACCCATATTGCCTGAGCCAGAGGCTCATGTATGAAATGCAAGACAACAACCCACCCATCCCACCCCAGGGGAGGACATCCATCACACAGTAATCTTGTGCGTGGGAAATTAACATCTCCTACCCCTAACCCTGCAGGAGACAGGACCTCCATTTATTTGTCCCCATCCAAGAAGACTAGAATATCTAAACCATTTCTTGATGTTATAGAAAGGCAGCATATTCTTCTCAATTATTTTAAGACCTTGAGTGTTGGTCTGCCCAGAGCTTGAACCCTCGACCTCCCACACATCAGTCTAGCGCTCTACTGATCCATTGAGCTAACCGGGAGGCGGTGGCCTGTTGGTTATCTTTTGGCTGACAGTGTTTCTCAGGGAGCTCTTCACAATTACACTGAAATTTGTCTAGCATTTCAAATTACAAAATGAAATCATCCAGACACAGGATTTTAGTATATTTTGATGACCCAATACTGAGCTAATTTTCAAAAAGTGGAAACAGCAAATTTGCAAAATTCACTTCTTATAAAATAGAAGATCTTCACAGACTGTACATTACAAGTGTAGCTCTCTTACAGCATTCTTAATTCCTTAAGAATTGTCATTGAGTGTAATTCATCCGGTAAGGAATTCCACACTTTGGCACTAATAAATGATAGAGATGCTTTTTATTTTAAATTACATCTTTGAGACGTCTTGGGATGGATGAGATAGGTGATGGAAGAATGTAACAATTGAAGAAGAAAATCTCAAAACACTCAAAGAAACTATGCTTGGTTGCTCGGTTTTTGGCAGCTTGTTATACACCTATTTTATTGCATGTTCCATGGAACACGATAAAGTTTATTACAAGATGAGAAAGGTGCCTTGTCTTCAACAAAAACTTTACAGTGTGAAAAAAAGACTTCATCCTTTATATTGCAGTTGAATGTTCAGGCACTTTTTCTTTGACCTTTGTTTTCTTTGGTGTCTCCTGACTTTCATCATCAGTAGTGGCCCTTTTTCTTTTCATCAAAGTTTTGTTATTGAACAGTTCAGGAGCAAACTTTTGTCCTACAACATGAGTCCAAAGGCACAGCTCAATCTTATGTTCATTCCACTCTCCTTTGGGGTCTGATAAAAAAATATATTATTTCTTCTTTATCAATCTATTTTTTTTTCCAAAGACAGGGGCATGATAAAAAGTGACAAATGTTTTGAACCCCCTTTTTACTTGTTTCAGTGTCACTTCTTCTATTGTTGTGTGAAATTATTTTTCTTGTTAGTGGAAGTAGTCAATCCACAGTGTGACCATGAAAGCTAACTCTGGTATCTCCTCTTTAAGTTTACATTACCCAGCTACCCTTTACACATTATGAAAATTTCTTAATACAGCTGGCATTGAACAGCACTCCTGACAGGGACCCCACAAACAGGAAGGTTCTGGAATTTGGGTAGGAAACAAAGTAAACTCTGGCTTTCAGGGATAGGTGGCATATGCAATCTCATGAAAATGCAGCAAGGAAATTACATAGCAGCATGAGGATACAGATCTTGCCTTTGAGTATCAATTTCATCTAGTCCCTCATTCCTTCACCTTTCACTGACTATGTTCCATAGTGAGGAAATAAATTTAGGCTTGTGACATTTGTTAACTGTTTTAATGATCTATTCTTTTTGTACCAAACTGGGAAAAAGACCCATATTTTAATAATCATTCTGGGATTGTAGGCCACTAGTTAAAAAAATTGTTCCCATGCATTAAAGTCTTTGGGTTATTTAGTGTTTCACTTAAGCTGAAATTAGTGACCTTAAGTTCTTACCCTTATTTAATAGCTTTTTCAGACAACTTCTTATTTTGTCAAGATATTGAAGATAGAACTTGAGTGTGTAATCAATCTTTCCAAAGCCTGGTATGGCTTGAATTGCTTCATCTGCCATGAATGGTACTTGATGACAACCAGCACACAAGATTGCTAGATACATTAAATATGAAAGAATGAGGTCAATACTGCACAATATTCATTTGATTTTTTTCTTCTCATTTGCAATGCAGTGTAAAGAGAAATTTTAAACACAGGTTAAGACACATGAGTTATTTAACCATCAGTTAATACAATATTGTATTAACACTGATTGCAGACTAGGACTAAATGCCAATTAACCCTAAGCAACTACTTGATTAAGCTAAACAAGTTTGAACCAAAACAGTGACTCGTGAAAATTATCAGGTAATTAGTCAAAATTAATAATATTTTAACCATTGTATAGCTGACTCCCTGGACAGCCATGATGGGGTTCTGGTTGGTGCCTGACTATCAATCCACAATATTCCAAACCTGGTATACATTGTTAAGTTTAAATGCCCGATTTATATGAAGAATGACCTGTTTTCTGCCAGGTAAAAAAGCAACAGAGAAATCCTGAATATAATCAAAACCAAGAAATCCTGGATGAGTTTCCAGCATTTACTTTCCAAGAAAATAAGTTTTTATTGTTCTCAAACTCATTAATTATTCATAAGTTGGTCATCCGACCCAGACAAGCCAATTTCTTAATGTGCATGTGGTTTGAAACCCCCCCTGGAACACTGGAATGAAGTGCCATTCATGAGTTTGACATAACTCATAAGAACTCATTTCTTAATTTGAATAACAACAAACTTGCTGACAAGATGTGAAAAATTTGCAAACATTTCCATTTTTCTTTTATTCCTGAGGTGTGATTGAGAAGCTATTTACAAGACTTGTGTATTGGGTTTTATCAAGGTTTCCAAACACTCACAAACACTTGCAAACTCGCCTCATGCTTTCATCAGTTTTCTTGTGTTTGGAAACCCTGATGAAACCCTCGCACTCAATTATTTGAAATAGTAAATCAAACTTGCTTGGATCAACCTCTTATTCATCTTAGTTCACCTTGACTTTCAAAAAAACTCTTTGACATAAAAGTATAACGGTAATATTATCAATAAAAACATGTTGCCAAGGTACCTAACAAGCCCTGTTTTCACTCACCTGAAGCTGTTCCTGGTCCAACAGCTTTCAATGTTGTTAGTTCTGTAATGGCTAATTTCACATCAGGTAAACACTTGAAGGCATTGCATGTCACCTCCTTGACAGTTTCACTGGTGTTTGTCTGTACAAGCTGAGTCAGGCGGGGTCTGAACTTCCCACGCTATAAAAAGGATAATTTCAAAAGATTATTTCATTATCTTTGATCAAATTGATTTCATATGGCTAAAATGACTCTGTAAACTATTAAAGAACTATTAAAAAGGGTTTTTATGAAAGCTGGCAGTCACCAAACCCTACAGGGTTTAGAAAGCACTTCAATTAGATGAAGATTTTTAGGTCTCTTGTATATGCTAACTTTCCCAGACTTTCTAAGAGTCTTCCACACACAAAATAAATCTCCTTGTCTCACATACAGTAGCCTAATAATCTCATAGAGAGAATTTTTTTCCTTTGATTTGTTCATTTGTTTTTTCATAAAAGTTGGAAAATCAATTCAGTTTCAACTCTACTGGAAATAAATTGAGTTTCCTGTTCAAGAATAGTTCAATTTTGTGATTAGAATGTGTGTCAATATACAGTTTAAAGTAATAGACTTCTATTAACCTGGGTGCAAAGCTGACCATAGAAAAACTTAGGGGCTGGAGGGTTGAATGTGATCCAAATTGACAAGCATTGATCTCTGCATTTCAGATTCCCTGCAGTAGTACTGGACTCAACTTTATTATCTCTCATATCTGAACAACTCTTTTTTTTTTCTTATAGCAGTTTCAAGGATAGCTTACTGTTAACTTCCACTCCATAAGCTTTGTAAGTTCTTCATGTGTTAGATACTTTTCTGATCTCTTGTTTATTTCTTGAGGTAACACGTTTTGAAACCTACATATTTCAAAATGCCATTAAAAACATTAGGTTTATGATATGAACTTAAAGACATACATTCCAAAATTTACTATTAAACTTAAACAGTATGGTGTTGAAATAATCAAGTTCTTAAGTCTCACTAAGGAGTGGGATTCAAAGATGGAAGGATGTTACGAAAACTAAGACCCTCAAAAACAAAGACCTAAGACCTGTCTTAGTTTTTGAGATTACAAAAACTAAGACCCCCTAAAATCGAATCCGTCAAAATATAAAGTCAAATTGTAACCAAAACAGGTCTAATCTATCAAATTATCTCCTGTCCAATCCTTTCCACCGAGTTTTAGGTCAAATTTAACAGTAGAAAACTAAGACCCCTACCAAACCAGTCTGTAAAATGTCTACAAAGTCGAATTACAACCGTTTAACACTATAATCCGTGCAACAACCAAAAACTACAATTGAACGGGTGCTAGATGATCCACTTCTTCTAACAATTTGCCAGCATATTTTCAGCATTGTGGCTTTATAAAGACGATGAAAGCTATACACTACCTACGTATAATTGTACACTGAAAATATGCCTTATCCCAATTGATCTTTGAAGATGGATGTTTTTCCATGTGTCTCTGTGATCGAGATTGCATAACCTGTGACAGTGCTGAATAACTTATGTACACACGCTAGGTTTTGGCGTTGCACGTGGACATTAAATTAAGAGCCCACAGAAAGCTCATATTCTATAATAAATCCGGTTAGGTTTTCCTGTGTTACTGTCACATCATGAAGTGAAGAAAAAACGTGATGTCTTCACAAATGGTTTCACAACATGGGGTGTAATCCAGCTGTCAAGGAAACTCTCCTGACAAGTCCAAGCCCCAGACAATAAAATTTCCCTGGCAGAATCGGTCACATTTACTCACTCCTATGTTTTGCCAACAGATAATATTGGCAAGCAACAGTAGCCACCCTAGTTCCACTTCACAGGTTTCATAAGTTTTTACGCAAGAACCGATCGGCAGTGGCCAAGATAAATTGGAAAACAAACCTTGGGGAGTCGCGATTTCCAGTGTCGGTGATTAACTCCTTTGTTCGGAAACAGATAAAATCGATGTTAGGGCTTTCCCATATTGCAAGTACAGCAGTGATTTTGCTCAATTGATCGAATATGAGCTTTCTGTGGGTTCTTAATTTAATGTCCACAGTTGCAATTCGACTTTGTAGACATTTCACAGATTGGTCTTAGTTTTCGTAATTACAAAAACTAAGAGGGGTCTTAGTTTTTGAAATTACGAAAACTAAGACCCCTAAATTTACTGTTAAATTTGACCTAAAACTCGGTGGAAAGGATCGGACAGGTGATAATTTGATAGATTAGACCTGTTTTGGTTACAATTTGACTTTATATTTCGACGGATTCGATTTTAGGGGGTCTTAGTTTTCGTAACGGCGGTGAATGTGTCGTCAACGTAACGTAACCAACGTAACCACTTGGTTACGTTACGTTGACGACACATTCACCGCCGTTCGACACGACGAAATTGACGCATTCCACAACCACCTTAACGAACAAAACACTGACATACAGTTTACCAGAGAAGTCGAAGAAAATGGCAAACTTCCTTTTCTAGACTGCCTGGTAAGCCACAACGACAACTCATTACGAACGACAGTTTACAGGAAACCGACACACACCGACAGATTACTAGACGAGTCATCCTACAACCCTACATCACACAAAGCCACAACTATCAGAACTCTAACACGACGCGCACAACTAGTATGTGACTCGACAGACAGCTTATCCGACGAGAACAAATACCTTCACCGTGTTTTTACGAAGAACAACTACAACAACGACTTCATCCGACGAAACACTCACCGACCCACTACCACTACCGAAACAAACGACACCGCAACCCCTACGACTACAGCAACCATACCGTACATAAAAGGCATGTCTGAAAACATCTCGCGCATCTTACTACCCTTCAATATCCGCGTCGCCCACAAACCCATCACNACACTGATGAATCTAAGGACATTTTGAACTTAATATTAAATGATGATGCGTCAACCGACTCTGACGGTGACGTAGAGGAATTGTAGCTTTGCTTATAATAAAGGTGTCTTTAAATAACGATTCTTTCAATTAACGTCATTTTAATTAACAATGGGGTAAATTAAGATACATAAAATTAATGCGAATTTTTGAAATTCGCGTTAATTACATGCATTGTTGGATGCTCCATGATAAACTCCATGATAAACTTAAATTAAATGACGACAAAACCGAATTTATATTAATTGGAACAAGACAACAGTTGGCAAAGGTTGATGGGATCTCCCTGTGTGTTGGTGAGTCTAAGGTTTTCCCAGTGAAATCAGCAAAGAACCTTGGCACGTGGATAGACAGTAATCTTAATCTGAAGATCAATGTTAACAATACCTGCAAAGCTGTCTATTATCATCTGACGAATGTACGACGCATTATGAAATACTTAGATGAGAAAGCATCACAAACATTGATACATGCTTTAGCAATCGGATGGATAGATTACTGTAATAGTATTTTATATGGTTTACCAGCTAGAGAATTATCTAAGCTCCAACGGCTTCAAAATTCGGCAGCAAGGATTATTTTTGATATCCCAAAGATGTGTCACACCACACCAGTTCTACGAGAACTGCAGTGGTTACCTGTTCAGTTTAGAATACAGTTCAAATTTATCATGATCACTTTCAAAGCAATTAATGGACATGGTCCAATCTATTTACAAGATCTTGTTAAGTTGCAGCAGAATCGACCATACAACTTAAGATCTAGTAATAAGGGTCTCATGCTGCAAGCACCAAATTCCATAACAAAGAAAACATTAGATGATCATGCTTATATGTGCGTACCACCTAAACTTTGGAACAGTCTTCCTTATAAAGTGCGTAACGAGACTGATTTTAGTAAATTTAAAATTTTACTTAAGACTCACCTCTTTAAGTTAGCCTTTAATTAGGATTGAATTGTGTATGGTTTAATAGTTTTTACAATTTAGATAAGGTTTTTATTAGCTTTGTAAATTTGATAAGGGTCTTACTGTAATTTATTATCTGATGTAATTTTTATATTCTATAATTGTTATGGGCATTTGATCATATGTAAATGGTTTGCGCACTACAAATATTAAACTATTATTATTATTATATTATTATTATTGTTAAATTCCTATTAGGAAGCGCGCCCAGATGATATTTTAATTTATGCACTGCAGAAATTTAGTGTTTATGGTTTTAGACCATTCTGGCGGGAGATCATCTTTGTAGCCTGTGGTGAATAAATTAGCGAGTTACGCACAGTTGACCTTTGCGCCTTTATATGATAAAGACAGTGTAGCAAAGTAATGGAGTCACCTCATCGTAATTTGCTCAATACGCATTTGAAAAATAGAATATTTGTGACGAAAAAATATACCAAAATCGTCACTAAAACGTATATTTCTATATTCTTAGAATTTAATTGCGTTACACAATTTGACATGTGTTGTACCGACTAGATAACGTAAATGTCAAGTTGGTCGCGCGCTCAGATAACATATTAATTGATGCGCTACCGGAAATGAGAACATTTTAGCTTAGTGTATAGCCTTTCCTTGAAAAAAAGTTTTTAGAACAATGGGTCGTCGTTTTAGACCAGTGGGTCTTCGTTTTAGACCACAGGGTCTTCACTTTAGACCACAAGGTCTTCGTTTTAGACCACAGGGTCTTCGTTTTAGACGAGTGGGTCTTAGGTCTTAGGTCTTCGTTTTGGGTCTTCGTTTTAGACACATCCTATAGGGTCTTCGTTTTAGACCACGGGGTCTTCGTTTTAGACCACAGGGTCTTCCTTTTAGACCAGTGGGTCTTAGGTCTTAGTTTTCGACACATCCCTTAAATTTGACCTAAAACTCGGTGGAAAGGATGGGACAGGAGGTAATTTGACAGATTAGACCTGTTTTGGTTACAATTTGACATTAGATTTCGACGAATTCGACATTAGGGGGTCTTAGTTTTCGTAATATCGAAAACTAAGACGGGTCTTAGGTCTTAGGTCTTTGTTTTCAAGGGTCTTAGTTTTCGTAACACCCCTTGGACAAACGAAGTCACGATACTTTCTTCTCGTCGCGGGGCAAGTTACCGAACAAAAATATAAATTTTTGATGCCTGTCCCGATGCTGTCGTTGATTATTAGAGCAGTGAAAGATATTTGTACAGTGGACGTTTTTGAAAAATTGTTAACTGGTTATTTGATATTTCTGGATTAATACCGTGACTATTGAATACAACAACTACAAATGATTTGTCTCTACATGATATATTAAAGCTATTTCATCGCTGACCACTCATATATATCTCGGATCATTTTTTTTGCCCCGCTCGTCGCCCGAGAGCGTGATAGTAACTCCCCTCCAGGATCCCTCTCCAGGGGATCCTGGAGTGTCCTAGAAGGGGGCCTGTGTCGGCCTGAGTGAACGCATCCTCGGAGACCCAGCTAGGGCTGTGAGTCGATTTCAAGTTAGGGCATGAAGAGCCCCTGGGGACATTGTCTTACAAGACTAGTTCCAAACGGTCGCAGTCGTTCTGCCATCTGATTGGTGCCAGAATTTATTTGTGTTTTTCTGCCCAATCAGAGTGAAGTGTGCTTTAGAGTCCTTTCGTGTGTTTTAACACGGACATATACTAGTGGCTCAGTTGCTCACTATGTTTGGTTGAACCGTGCGACGGAGATTTGCTTGAGGTGAAAAGTTTCAGTCTTGTAAGAGAAATCGATCAGATTGTCCGCGAAAATCTTACCGGAAATTATACTGAATACTTTCGCAGGTATCACTAGAGAATGTGTTTTAAAAAAGTTTGCGAGGTTTGTATACAACACGAGGGTTGCAGTCATTGATATGTCGCTTTAAACGTTAAACGAGATTGAAGCTCAGATCTTTCAAGATTTTTTGCATAATTTGCTGTGACTGAAACTTTGCCAATCCCCTGAAGTTATTTCGTCGCACGGGCCACGCAGGTATGTCGAGCAACTGGTACTTGCGCAAATTTCTGTGCGTGCCAAAATCTAATCTCATCTTCGCTTGAAAAAAAAGGAAAGCAAAGCGTGGAAACTTTTGCTTATTAGATGTGGGTAGATGACCATGTACTATTAAGCTGACATCTGCAATCAAGCAAACCCGCCCTTTCCATCCATTATTTCTTGATCTTTGGTTTTGTTTTTCCCATTGAAAGCAGCATCGGATCGATTCCCAATGATCAAAGGCATTTAACTTGGTCTTCAACAATTGACAGAAGAGGTGAAATGANAAAAAGGGCAGTAGTTTTCTCACCTTCATCTACCTGGCTTTCCGTTCTTCGTGATTTACAGAAATATCGATCAATTCCAGGCTGGCTTAAAGTGGGTTTTCTTTTACTCATGGGTACTCTATAATTAATTACATACTAAGATTTCATGCCTTCTTCTAACACGCCGAACGCCATTTCATGCCTTCTTCTAACACGCCGAACGCCACACCGCACTTGATGACAACAAACACTGGTCAGCGGAATTTCGCAGAAGGTAGAAGGCGCGCATTGGCATTGAGTAATACGTTTTGCTGCTGAAAACGGCTTTCAAGTATTATTCGTTCGATTCACGCGATTTTTAACTTTGAAATCTACGTGTAGATACAAAATAAGGAGGCAAGCTTGTCACCGAAAAGTAGGCGGCTCTAAATTTAAGGTAGCCGGTTTTTTAGCCGGCTGCCGGCACTTAATGAGAACCCTGCATATGATATGTCCTATTTATGCAATAGGGCTGCACTAGTATCGCAGAGGTCAGTGGTTCGAGTCCCGTACAGGCCTGATTTTTTTCAGGTCTGATTTTCGCTATTGCATAAATAGCGCTATCTACTGCGAGGATCGTGCATCATACCACTCTATGATTGTTACACCACGATCTTTCCCCAGTCTGAGTCTTGTGCCTCGCGCAGTAACTTCTTTTGTTGGTACATGCATTTGCCACAAAAACACGGTTGAGTAATCCTGGCGTACGTTTTCCTTGTTTTTTCTTTTTAAGTATGCCGCTTTTAATTAATGGCGAGATTGAAAGCTCACAACTGAGATCTTTCGAAGATTTTTCCAGAAAACATGAGCATTTTAAGGTAAGTTATACTCTTACTTCACTACCGTATTTCCTCGAATAAAAAATTTTCCGAGGGCGATTATTTCTTTTTTCGCACCAAAAGGGGGCAATTATTCGAGGGAAGGCGATTATTCAAGGGAGGCGATTATTTCAAATATTTCTCACAGAAGGTCATGCCTTAAATAGTTTGTTTTATTGTACCATTAATCAAAAAAATAATCACATCAAATATAAATCGAACATGGGCTTTTCAGTGTTTCAAATTTGTTTCGTTGATTACAGTGATCAATGTTCAATGTCAATATCTTCGGCGTCAGAGCCTGAATCATCGCTGATGACTTTAACTGGACTCCAGTGATTGGGGAAAAGCTTCTGTGCAAGAACGACAAGAGAGAAGAAGCAAAAGCATATGACGACTTTGCGGTCGGTTTTAAATATGGAACTTACGTATTTATTTTTTATAATTCCTGCTATTCACACATTGGAAGAGAAATAAACAAGAACAGCCAAAGCAGGGGGCCTAAATGGCCTAAGGTCAGCAAAAGACGTTAAAATTTTGCAAGAGTAGAAGAAAGCTTTAATAACTAAAATAATTACAATTAAACCAAGAAAGGAAAGGTCAGTCAGAATAAAAACTTACAAGGTTAAATATTTAAACGACTAATAATAAATTCCTCTACACCACACAAACAAATACAAACAAATACAAACAAATACACCCAATATAGTCCCATAAGGATGCAGATTATGCACAGGCTAATTAACTACTCAGAGAAAAATATAGTCTTAATTTTTTTATAGTTGCTTACTGTGGGATTATTGTGCACCAATAACGGAATATAGTGGCGGATCTGATGTTCTAGTTGGGCATGTACCCACTGAACTATCCCATCTCATTTGCACTTTCCTGAATGCAGAAGATAGCAATAAAGGCGATGCCGAGGTTATCAGAAAGCGGAAAACAAACTTGTTGTTCCAGCTACTTATTCATTGCGAACAAGGAACAAGTACATATCCGATGTGTTAAATAGAGAGCTCCAAGTGATAAAGGAAAAAGTGAAGTACATGAACGTTGTCATAGAAAAAACTGTAAAAAATCGGTGCTTTTGTAATCATTCAGTGGTCAAGGAACAATTAAATAAAAGCTTGTTTGTTACCCAAGATGCCAATTTTTAATTTGAGAGGGAGGGAGCAAGAAAAAGAGAAAATGGCGAGGGGAGGGGGGTAATTATTCGAGGGAGGCAATTATTTTAAATATTTTGGTCAAAGGAGGGCGATTATTTGAGGGAAGCGATTAATCGAGGGATGGATGGCTATTCAAGGAAATACGGTACTTGAGTATTACTGGTGCATCGGTTCTAGAATATATGCAAATAAATCACATAAGTTTGGATGAAGTATTACAGGAAATGAGTGACTAATTCTGTGGTCTGATTGGCTAGGGGAGTAGGAACTCAATATTGTCTTTGTTGTTCATTGAAATAGTTGAATAGCCAGACAATGTGAATATTAATTAACCCAGTGATTTTGTGACAATGGACATCTCAAATTGACCAATCAGTGTTAAACCACTATGCACAACTTAAGACCATTATTGGTCAATTTGAAGCCACTTTCATGCTTTCACTTCCTCAATAACTTTTCAAAATTCCTGAGCTTGGTGCAGCTTTTTAAAGGAAATTCTCTTGTATGACACACTATGACACATCTTGTATTCAGCAATTTTGATAGCGCCATTTTTTAGAAACAGAATAACAAAGATGAAAAGTTTTTGTCCTGTCATACGTGGAAAATCAAGAAACAGTGATTGTTATGAGTTATGTGTAAAGCATTTTTCACTAACCAAAATTCTCTCAAGTTATGTTCTAGTAAAGATGTTGAGACACTTGAAACAATCTTCATCCTGTTGGTTTTGATTGTAGCTCAGCATACAGCTTTAAACCTGTTTAAGTCAATGAAATCAATATATTTTTTGTTCATATTTCAAGAAAAATTTTACCTTAGTAAGTGAAAAATTTTACCGTAGATGGGTTTAATTTTTAGTTGTTTTTATAATGTACTTTCAAATTACACCTTCATATGGGAACTACCTCCTTTGTTGTAATCTGTTACCTTTCAAAATGAAACTAGAAGACTTGGTTTGGAAAGGAGAAGAAAACACTACCCGTCAGTCCCTTAAGATTCTATACAACTCTAGGTAGATATTTTCATCAAGATGCGTAGAAATATTTTTTGCTTTTGCTCTCTCCTGGTGCTCAAAGACTTCCTTGCACTTAATAAACAAGCATGCATGATGGTCTGCTTGTGAAGGGGTACTACCTTTCTCAAATAACTGATAAAGTTGTCCTCAATATCATCACTTTTAATTGCCTACAGTAGGTGATTATTTAGAGAGGCATATCATTGTGTGATTGGCTGAGGATTATGTCATATCTTGCAATGATCATCTGTGCTGGATTACTCTTAGAGTAGAGAACTAATTTTCAACTCACCACAGCAAATAATTCTTGTTTCTGATGAATAAATTGAAGAAAATGCTGTGGCTCTGACTATCACCCATTGGTTATTAATTAAGTTAAAACAACTGTTTAGGCCTTCCTTCCCCCTCTGATAACTTGGTCAGTTCTATCAGTCAGGCAGTAGGCATAGAAACTGAAGTAAACCAATTGATCAGTTCAGAAAACAGGTCAGATCAAATGGGACTGGTGTATATTTGCTCTTCATAAAAGTGCATATGCTTTTTGCAATAAGTTTCCTTTATAATAGCCATAAGAATATACTTGTATAAAGAACAACAGATATTTCTTTATTGCAGAAGAAATCTTGATCTGAGATTTTAGGTGTCAGGTTCTCAAGCCTGACGATCTGTTGGTCCTGCTCTCGTAACAGTCTTGGAATTAGATTAGATATCCAAGACAAAGATTTTCTAGAAGGTTGAACTACTACCTTTTATCGTAATTGATGTCATCATATAGATGCAAACATGGATTGCTCTCATTTGTAGGAAAGAGCTGAAAATTTCTCCAAAAAGCCACAAAGAAAAGTTGAGAGACCAAGTGGTGTTCTTTACATCATTCAAAGGGAATATGCTACTGTGGCACAAGATGATGGTATGAGTTTTAGCTTTTCATTTGTGAAAACTATGTACTAGACTCTCTTTGTTCCAATTTGTACTCTTCTGGAATATTCTTGACTAGAGGGCTATAATTGGTTGTTTTTGAGGACAGGGTGCTACAAATATTATACAATGTTAAGCTATTTTTTTTATTTGTAACCTAGAAATCATCTGGAATTTTCAAGTTTTCATAATACTCTACAATATGTAAGAAGCTTTTCTTTTCACTTTCCTTTTTCTCTGTGTTATTGGCTTGAAACTCTAAACTTCTTGAAATATCATTTTGCTTTGTATGGTATATTTCTTTTCACATTATTGGGTTCTTCTCCCATTATGAACACTGTATGATACTCACCAGGGTATTTTATAGACTCACTTTACGGCACAGAAAATTGTAGTTTATTTCTCAGGAATTCTTTTTGTAGGTTAGAAAACTCTCATCTGTGCTCTACATGGGTTTTCTTCATTCTTCATTTTGTAGAGCACATCAATATCTTGGGATCTGAGGATGCTACAACTTGTCATATAGTTGTTCTGCGAAACACAGGTACACATACACTAATGCAACAACTATTGTGCGCCATTTGTGTGGAACACCTGTCCAGCAGCTCATAGTTTCCCTCACAAAAAAATTTAAAAACTAATTAATGTAAAATCTTGTATTGCAATTTATTATAATTACGGTATTTTCAGCATTTGGTATATTAAGAAACTCAAAGGAAAGTGTGTCTATGGTTTTGCCGAGATAGGAATTTCACTGATTTTCCAATTTGGGCTTGAGCTGTGCAACCAAGATACTGGCTAGCACTGAAGTGCATACTTTTTAAGTTTAAATTTTCAGGTTTCAATTTGTTGATGATGATTTGGTGGTCATATATCCTACATCTTGGCTTAGCTTTGTACAGATGCTTTATAATTCTCTTCTAGAGTAAGATGTGTAAGTTAATTTGGCTAAACTTCAGAATACCCGGCCGCTTAATATGCATCTTTAAATAATTGCTCCTACAGTCCCCAAGTTGCCAAATTGAATAGCTGCTCCCACAGTCCAGCAATCTTACAGTCCAGTGCAAATTCTGTGGTCAGCTTGAACAGTGGTGGGACACATTCCTCTTTCTTTAAGAGTAATGCAGTGGGTAGTGTGAAAAAACAATTGTGCATGCACACATGTATACCTTGTTCTTTAGCATGACCAAATGGTGTACAGAAATGTGAATAAAGTAGTATATGTACACTCCAAGGGCCACGCCCTAGACCTAATTGTTACAAGATGTAATGAAAATGTAGTCTATGACATCCAAATACTGCCTGATTTTTTCTCTGATCACGAAGTTGTAACCTGCAAACTGGATTATCCAAAGCCACCTGCTTCTAAAATTCATGTCAGGTATCGTTCAACTAAGCTGCTGACTGCTGATATCTTGGACGACATTGTGTTGAAACTACCTTTTGTGAAAGATCTGAACGCGTTCCCTGTTGTAGACCTGACAACGCTAGTCACCCAATACAATACAGAGCTGGAAAAGATCTACAATGACCTTGCCCCTACAAAATCTCAATGGATAACTCATTGACCACATGCATGCACCCTGGTACAATGATTCTCCGGTTGGGTAAGCGCATAAAACGGAGAACAGAGCGTATGTTTAGGAAGACTGGTCTGGAAGTTCACAGAGGAATTTTTCTAGAAGCATGTAACAACTACTAAAAACAATATTGGAGTTCCATAAATCTTCCTACTACAAAACTATGATCAACCAAGCAGGTCGAAATAAACTTTTTTGGGTAATCGACGATCTGTTTCAACTGGGTAGTACAGCCCTGCCCTCTTATTCATCTTTGGAATTACTGGTTGAAGAATTCAATAACATCTTTTATAAGAAAAATCCAATCCATCAGAGATGAACTTCAGGAAAATGTAGTGAACCATTCAACACATTCTCAGAGTCCACCTTTGGCTTATGAATTGAACATGATGCGTGTGTCTTGCTCTACCATCAAAAATACCATTCAGTCTCTTTCCACAAAAACTGGTTCCCTTGACCCACTTCCTACCTATATAATAAAGAATTACGTTGATCTTCTATCTCCTGTAATAACCAACATAGTCAATCAGTCATTGTCGACTAGGGAGGTTCCTTCACCCTTGAAGTTGTCACATGTTTGTCCACATCTGAAAAAGGAAAATCTTGACAAGGAGATTTTTAAGAACTATCGTGCAGTGGCTAATATTCCCTTTCTTAGCAAAGTTATCGAGAAGGTAGCAGGAACACAAGTATATAACTATCTTGAATCTTACAACCTGCTACCCACTATGCAGTCTGCGTATAGAAAACACCATTCTACAGAGACAACTTTGCTCTGTCTGATGAACGACATTCTGAGAATGATTGACCACCATTGAGATGTTGTATCAGTCCTTCTTGATCTATTGGCGGCTTTTGACACCATTGGCCATGTGATCCTGGTGGAAAGACTTGAATCCTACTTTGGTTTCTCACAACTAATGCTGAACTGGTTCAGATTTTCAAAACCGTCGTCAATCAATAATTATTAGAGATCAAGTGTCCACTCCTTGCGCTCTTTGTTATGGTGTCCCACAAGGTTCCATACTTGGACCCCTACTTTTCACCCTGTATAGTACCCCTCTGCAAGATGTCATTGCTCGCCACAATCTCGACTCTTTGTTTTACACCGATGTCACTCAATTCTATGTTACTATTGATCCCGCAAATCAGGCCCCGTCTATGACTACCCTCCCTGAAACCTGCATTGAGGATGTAATGCGATGGAATACCCAAAATATGCTACGAAGTAATGCTGAAAAGACTGATTCAGAAGTTATTTTATTCACCTCCTGATTTACCAAGACACCTTACAGTGAGAAGCTAACCGCCTCCCAGTTAGCTCAATGGACAGAGCTCTGGACTGATGTGCGGGAGGTCGAGGGTTCAAGCCCCGGCCGGACCAACACTCAAGGTCTTAAAATAATTGAGAAGAATATGCTGCCTTTCTATAACATCAAGAAATGCTTTAGATATTCTAGTCTTCTCGGATAGAGACAAATAAATGGAGGTCCTGTCTCCTGCAGGGTTAGGGGTAGGAGATGTTAATTTCCCACGCACGAGATTACTGTGTGATGGATGTCCTCCCCTGGGGTGGGATGTTGTCTTGCATTTCATACATGAGCCTCTGGCTCGGGCAATCTGGGTAACCATGCCCCACGTTAAGACATTAAAAAATTTGATTGATTTGATTGATCGAAGCTCTCTTTTGACAGTACCCTCATTGAACTAACGGAGAAAGTCCGTGATCTTGGTGTTATTTTAGATAAAAATCTAACACTGACATACCACATTAATGAGGCATGCAGGAAAGCAACTAATGCGATCAGATCCATAGGGCGCATTCGTAAACACCTCACTAATGAAAACCATAAACTATTAGTCAATGCTCTTGTAATATCACGACTGGACTACTGTAACAGTATCTTCTATGGTTTACCAAAACGGGAATTCGACAAACTCCAGAGATTTCAAAACACTGCAGCACGTCTTATTACCAGATCTACACCATATGATCACATCAAACCTGCTCTTCAAAAACTCCACTGGCTGCCAGTAGAATCATGTATAATGTTTAAAGTTATTCTATTACTTTTAAGATTCTTCATGGACTTTTTCCGGCCCATTTGTCGTCCCTGTTACAAGAATATCTTCCATCCACCACGTACTTTACGTTCATCTTCCAAATCACTTCTTACTGTCCCCACTATAAATTCTGTGACATACGGCGAACGTGCGTTCTCCTTCTATGCACCTATATTATGGAATACTCTTCCTGATTCTCTTAAATCTGCAGCTTCTCTTTCGTCTTTAAATCTGCCCTTAAAACATTCCTATTCCGGAAATTTTATTTTTAGTATTGTGAAACACTACCCAGGTTTTTATCCCATTTAACTCTATTTTTGTTTGTGTAGGTACTACTGACTGTTAGTATCATTGTTATATTTTATTTTTATTATGCTGTGTAAGTGCATTGAGATTCTTAACTGCGCTCATAAAAACCTTGCTATTATCATTATTATGATTGTCCGGACTTTTGGATTATTAGTACTTTTTCTCTGGTTCCGTTTTTTTCATGAATATTAATGAGCTTTGATCTTCAAGACTTTGGGAAGTAAAAAATTCAGAGATTATGTTTAAAGTAAGGAAAAGTGCATTTAAAACAGTCATTGAAGCGGACTTTTAGAATTAAAAATGTGTTATCTTGACTTCTTTTGTTTGCATTATTGTCTCATTAATATTCATAGTTTTGATTACCCAGACCCTTGATTATCCGGACCCTTGATTCTCTAGAATATCTACTCAAGTCCCAACAAGTCCAGATAATTGAGGTTCAACTTTACCTTCATGTTTTCACAGAAAAAATAATTTCCTATTCCATTTAGTGATAACAGTAACCTCTACATTAAACAATTTTGCATTATTCTATGATTTATATGTTTTCTCATTTGTGTTTGTTTCCTTTGGTTCTTTTTTTTTTGCAAATCGAGAACATTGCAACCAGTCCTGTCAACTGCAAGCATGGCTTTTCATAGGTTAAAATTGTAATGTGCAGAACCTTTGAATAACAGGTTTACACTGATTCCATTTCACTCCAATTCTTCTCTCAATCCTAGTCAATAGTAAGGGTTTCTCTGAAATATCTTTGAAATGTTTGCGCTCTCAAAACTCGGTAAACAGAATGAGCAAATGTGGGTTAATCTTCAAAAACAACCAAACAATGTGCAGTTTCATTGTGACAGTCTGTACAAAACACCAGAAGTTTGTCTCTTCGTTAAAACAAGGTGATGTCAGTGGGTAGCTGAAAAGGATACTTCATTCCATCACTGTTTTGAACCACGATGGGGTATGTTCTGGCCTCAAATCAAGCACCCATGAAAACCTTGACCCACAACCACCGAACATCTTCATGATCTTTGTTGGATATCTAGGAACTGGTAATTATAAATTGTTTGAATTCACTCTTTATTTACAACAAGTGCCAGAATCAATTTTTGAAAGTAAAAATCAACTGCAATCCCAGCTTTTTAATAGCACACTTTGTTAACTCTCAATTAGTCAATTTCCCCATTTTTTTACCAGCCTGTTTTTCATAGCAGTAAAATTAACTTTTCTAGACGTTCTTACATTCATTTTTAAGGTAAATCTTCTGCAATCCAATATGCTTCACAGGGTTCCCTGGAGTATTTGGATTTCACAACTGCGATAATCAGGAAAAGGACATCCTCAGGACTCATCAAATTGCTAGCCACACAGAAAAGAGGGTTTCTGCTTTCACTAGAGGTGTTTGATGTCTTAAACAAACTGATGAAATCAGGTGAGGATAATGCAACAGGAGACATCCAGTTGCTATGCAAACTATTTTCTGGGGAGTGATGTTCATACCATTATTTGTCTGAAGAGAGCTATGTAATACCTGCCAACACTCGTTTCAGCAGCCTCAGATCTACTCAAGTTTTTAATGCTGCAAAGTTAATTTCTAAGATGCACCATGGCCATGAATTGGTAGATAGGATACTGTGTTCCATTCCACTGGCATTTAGACCAAGCTTGACAGAGATGGAAAGTGTCACCAACAACTTTCAACCCTGTAGTTGATGACTTCAATGAGTGCTTCAGCAACATCTACGAGACTGTCCAACAGCTTTGATTCCACTTCAGCAAAGAAATGCAACAAACTCTAAGAGAGGACAATGATCAGTTTGTAGCCAAAGTCAATGATGCTCTGAGAGGAAAGGGTGCCCCCAAAGTCAAAGCTCCCTGAGCTAGTGCCAAGAGTTGCAGTGACACTACACGTTTTCAACAATGTAATGACTGAACTTTTAGTGGGCATCCCAGGGACACTGCACCTCCAAGGCAAATTGAAAAGTTGATTTTAGAGAAAGCATCAGACTTTGTCAACCACTTCAAGAGCCAGAAGAGCATGTTATGTCAAGTAGGTTGCTAATAATTTCAATGCGCAATTTCTTACCACTCAAGCAATTTTGGACAAATTGCCAATGGAAAGAATGCATTATGTATTAAGTAATTTTTCATTTAACTTACTTATCTTATTCACGTATGCCTTTTTCCTTTTTTTGCATGCAGTTGCCATCTGTTTTGATCCATAATGAACTTTATTAAAACTCCAAATGAGTTCAAATCAAACACTTGCATTATTTACTTTTTAGTAACGGTATCTTTGTCTCTTTAACTAGAAGGACATAAATGTTGCCTGTATAGTATACGTAGGACAGCGCTTACGTATGTAAAAGTATACATCCGGGAAAGTGTGAGGGCAGGAAGATTACATTAAAACCTGTACTGTGTGTACTGTTGTCATTCACCTTTGTGGCTGTCTTTGTGGCTGCCTTTTGTGGCTTACTTTTCGTGGGTAGACAGTACAGCATGTAACAACACTGTAGGGCAACCAACCCTTAGAGCATCCAAGAACAGGTTCTCACAGCACAGGGCCAGTTTGTCACCTACAGAAGCTTTCCCTTTGGAAAGCAATCCAACGAATATGTAGCCAAAGCCAAATACATCAGAGCTCTGTAGGCTTAAGAAGAAGATGGATGTGGGCATCTGGCAAAATTAAGTGTACCCAGAGCATGTGGAAAATGCAAGGTGTTATTGAGTCCAGACCAGATCCCTGGCCCTCCAATGCTACTGTGAGTGCTACCAAGTTTGAAAATGCATTTGCTAGAGGTACTCATTGTGACATTTCTGGACCTATGTGGGCCTCTTTACAAAGTGAGAACTACCTTTCATCATAGATATTTGTTGAATAGATAATCAAAAGTTCTAATTGTTTGACCTGTGTATTTATTTATTTATTTCCTTCCAGGCTAAGTTGTGTTTTTAATTTTTTATGTAGTAAATTGTATGATGTATAGTGTTTAATATTTTTGTATATTAAAGAATGTCTGAGTATTTCCAAAAAATGGAACATATCGATTTCATTGAATATTAATTGACTGACAATTTGAGAGAACGAACATTTTTAATATGTTTGCACTTAACAATTTTCTATTCAAGCAATGTCTTTCAATGTAGTGTGACAGTCTTGAAAATGATGTCCATTGCCATGTTATTGTTTATTGTAGTATTTCTGATCAAGTTTCAAAACAAACTGTAGTTACTAAATGCTGTTAAATAGGTAATGTTTTATTAAAGAGGTGAATCATGTCAGCGTGTCAAAAATGAATTTTAATTTTTCCTCAACTTTGGAAGGGTAGGACTGTGGAAGCACTAGTTTATTTGGCCTCTCTTTTAATTATTCTTTGACTTTAGGAACATAGGACTCTGGGAGCACTAGTTTAACTGGCCTCTCTTTTAATTGTTATTCAACTTCGGGAGCGCGGAACTGCAGGGGCACTAGTTTACATGCCCTCTCATATGCTTATTTTTCAACTTTAGGAGCACAGGAGTAATCAATTTGCTTTCAAAAGTGGCCGAGTATGCTGAAGTTGCTCTGTTAATTCAAACTTGCACTGTCATTTTTTTTTTAATGTTCAGGGTGCAAAAATTCAAGGTAGATATATTGGCAAGATTATCGCATGGCATAAAGTGTTTCCCCAAGCAGACTGGTTTTTTTTTTCATACTTTAATCAGGATCAGGTGTGGTAAGCGTAGGGCATTTTGATGGCAAAAGTACAGAGAAAGGTATCAAGGCCATGATTGCATCTGTCATGCAGCTCTCTAGATCACAGTCTTACAATGGAAGGCAAGTAAAGCTAATGAATCAGCCCCATCTATGTAAAAAGTTCTTTTTCAACAAATCTGATGAAAGTAAAGATGGGTCACAATGTTTAACAATTATTAAAACCTAGCATTAATTCACCTACAGATCTAAGGTAATTGAATATTTGTTTAAGTGTTGGACTAAACTGGTCAATAACCTCTGTTCATTTTCTTTTACTAACCTGGTCAACTGTTCACTATTTGGTCACCTGACTACACTTTCTTTCAATTTTTCCAGGAATGAGCTTCACTTGTTTGGAGGATTTCTTGATACTAAGGGGATTTCCAGTAGTTTGACAATATCAATTTTAGGCAAGTTTTCTCTGATATGTTAAAAAATTCCCCCCTGTAAATTATCCTAAATTCGTAATGTGTTATATCATATTGTAGAAGCTGTACAGAAACAGGATGGACTTATACATTTATGTTCAGCATGTGTAACAGGTATGTACCTGAGACCTCTAAAACTCTCTAATCTTCAACATCAAAGAGTGACTAGCATCTCATTTCTTCTTACAATATCACCCCGGATCGAATCACACTTTATAGTCACAAGAAAAAAGGAACTGATTGCCAGCTAAAGATCGAAGCTCCTGACTGCTAAACAAATTCTCCTTGTCAGTATGTTAGGAAATGTTTAGAGAACAGCATGTAGATTATGCATACTGATTTTTGGGTGTAAAGGATTAAGGTTGAAGACCAACTCGCTGACGTCACTACTCGATTTTTTACATTGACGAGTTGAACTGTCGGCGACTTAACTGTAATTCCTTAGGGAAACCAAGTGCATATTACAACATACAGAGTCCTTCTCACTTACAAAAGGAAAGGCAGGGGAGAAGCAAAGAGAAGTTTTATTGATAAGAAGAGAGAGGAGAAAGAAATTGAGGGGGGAAATGAGGGGAAAGAACCAGATGTTCTCGGTTGAGATGCTTGATGTAATCACACCATTCCTTTCTTATTCCCCAACTTAACTGTATCTTTATAATGTGTCAACAGGATTCAACAACGTGGTTGAAAGTGGACAGCACAAGCCTATGATTTCTGGAATAGGTATCAAAATATCACAAATTTCAAACCTTTGCCCACTTAGCCATCAAGAGAATGGAATTAAACCATTTGACTGCCAACCTTAAAAGGCAAAATAAGCTTGTTGTGTATATTTTGATTATCTGCTATCTTCTTTATGTGACAGGTGTTAGCATTCAAGATGGTGAGATTTATCCTGCAACATTTAAGAATAAGGGTCCTGATGAAATCATTCGACATGGACGTGTATTTGTGGGTGATGAAAGGGTAAATTGATCATTTAATTTAATGAATTACACCTTGCCACTTACAAGACTCATTGAAAGGGAGAAAAACAATATTAACCAATTGTAAACTTGTACCATATAAACTTGCACCATACTATTTGTAACAATCACTTTTCAGCAAATTGTTAAGCCTTTTTGCTCCTTACATTTTGTCATGTTGAGGTTAGAATTAGTTGAGATGCTCTGAACTGAAGCTCCTCTGCCTCTTTTTTTCTTGACTTTTACATTTTACCCAGACTCACAGCATGCCTACTGTTGCAGTAAACAGTTATGGGAGGAATTCATATTTTTTTAGGCAACAAATTTATGGCTAAGTTAGTTGATAAGGTCACCAGCATATGGGAAGGGGTAAACCTTTTTCAAAATACAGATTACTTTTTAATTAATTATTAAATGAATGACAAACCTAATGTCTTAAAATTTTTTAAACCTAAAAGATTTGAAACATTACTATCTCTGTTTAAGACTGGAAGGGGGTTCTTAGAGCCAATTTATTTCACCCTCAGCCACCTTTATTTGTATCATATGTGGGACTCTTAAAACTACAAAAGAGGAACTGAAAACCTTGCATATTGTGTGATAGTAAAAGTATTATTTTTTTAAGATTAATTGGGATGTTAGAACATTGTAAAATAATTCTGTTGTTATTTGAAATAAATATTAATCAGTACGTTTTCCTTTTTTAAAACAGATGGTAGAGGTGTATAATTCAAATAACAAAGAGCTGCAGATTGTACCATATGATAGTAAGAATACAATGCCTGCTGAATGCATGGAGTTCTTTTGTAATGCGGATGACAATGTCATACTACAGGTAAAAAGTAAATAAAAATCCATTTCCTTTTCTTCTTCACACATTTGATCATATCCCAATGTTCATTTGTACAATATAGAATGATATGAAATTATTATCATAAATTATTATTATATTGTTCACTTTCCTACAATTAAACTTGAGTTGGGAGTTGTATCATTGACAAGCTGTAAATGAATGATAACAAATTATAAGTCCCAAGTATAAACTCCCCACAATGGGCACAGGCATATCAACTAAATTTCAGTTCAGTTTTAAGACTGACCCTCAGTTGTGAGCTTGATTGGTGATAGGCTCAGTTGTATGCCAAGACTATCCATACCCACCTACATAGTCAAGAAGATGGGATGAATAGATAACAAAGCCACCTGACCAACACTGAAGGCTGATAAAGTGACAGTTAAGATTCTGAATTTTGTCACCAGCATACATTTGTTGAACAAATTTTCAACTTATAAAGAACACATCACTGGCTTTGCTGGGTTCCTACCCCAGGCCTGCCAGGAAAATTCTTTGTTTTACAATCAAAGATTAGGGAATACATAAATCCACCAGCTACTACTAAGCTACTACTACTAAGGTGTGGGGGGATTTTACTGTTTCCTAAACCCAAGATGCTACTGAAAAGATTAAGTTTAACTACAGATAAGCATCCTATTGAGGCTTTAACAGAAAAAAGTGGAAAGTATGCTTAGGTGGCCACTGGCTTGATAGTTTACCATATGCTCTTCTGTTACACAGTGATCACTGCAAAACGATAAAATACTCTTTTGATGCTCAGGGAGTTTGCAAGTGATGGAAGGCCAAGTGACACCTTCATCATAGGCCTTTACTTTACCCTGAAAGTCAGTGTCTTTCTTCTAGACTCAAGCTGCCCCCCCAAAAAGTAAAACCTTCGGCTATAAGCCGAGAGCAAAATTATTGATTGTAACTGGCCATGTGAGCAAGCAAACCTCACGGAAAACATAAGAAATTGACTCACTGAACACAAAACCTAATGAATTACAACAAACACAAAAGAAAAAAAGCGAACCAATGAAGAGATATGAATATGGATTGATCCAACGACGTGTACAATTACTACCACGCGACAACACATCAACCAGAACAACAATCTCAGTTAAACGTTTCAAAGTATCAATCGATCGAGTATTACGGGACCGCAAATGATCCTGGACCACAAATGATCCCCAAGTTGGACTGCAAATGATCCCGGACTGCAAATGATCCCGGACCGCAAATGATCCTGGACCACAAATGATCCCAGACCGCAAATGATCCCAGACCACAAATGATCCCAGACCGCAAATGATCCCCACACCGCACCGCAAATTATCCCGACCAAAAAATAAGGAATGGCATGGATTGGTATAAAAACATGTTTTATTATTTTAACAGAGTTATTCCCTAGCTGATTTTTTTTCGATTTTAGCGGAAAATCTGTGACATTGCGTGACATTCTGTAGAGTAACACACACCGCTGTAAGGGCCAAAGATTTTGTCGATTTCAAGACCTTTAACGTAATACAATAATTTTCTAAAGACATTTGTTGTGATCGTGGGCTGCTAATCTTCTGTTTATTGTGTAGAACGTTGGATAACATGCTTAATCGGATTTCATTTCTGTTGCATATGATCAATGCTTCCGGTGCATGTGTGATTTCAGTGAAATCGAGCATGTAAAAGTCACAAGGACAACAGAGAATTAAAATACACACATAGTATGATAGCTGCGAAAAAAACTTAAATTAGCACAGTTGATTTCACCGATTGCCTGTTGAAATAAAAGATTTTTGTTCCTTGTTAAAAATTGTACTCAGAGTACCAGAGGTGTTTCTTCTTCACATTCATGAGTAGTATAGTGATTGACAGGTATAGATCATCAACCCTAGGGCCTAAAAATCTGAAATAATCCGTGAAAAATATATAACTCTAATCTGTAAAATTGATCTGTAAAAAATGATCTTGAATCAATCTGTAAACTGATATGACAAAATCCAAAAATCCAAAAAAATCCAGAATTTTTAAACTTTATGGAAAAATTAAAATCATAAAACACAGACTCAAAATGGCTTCTTCTTAACAAATACAATTACAATTACAATTTATCACTTATAGAGCGCTATTTACAATGACAGATCAACAGTGCTTTACAATCAATCCTAACCCGCCCATCCCACCACAGGGGAGGACATCCATCACACAGTAATCTCGTGTGTGGGAAATTAATGTCTCCTACCCCTAACCCTGTAGGAGACAGGACCTCCATTATTTGCCCCTATGAGAAGACTAGGATATCTAACCATTTCTTGATGTTATAGAAAGGTAGCATATTCTTCTCAATTATTTTAAGACCTTGAGTGTTGGTCCGGCCAGGGCTCGAACCCTCGACCTCCCGCACAACAGTCCAGCGCTCTATCCATTGAGCTAACCGGGAGGCGGTTAATCTTGTTTTCAAATTAAAACGCTTAAATTCTTTTATTATATTTATAGTATAAGTGATGTGTTATTATATATTCATTTAGCATTACTTGAAGATGATAGATGTTATTGTCCTTTTTGTGATAAAATTCTGAAAGAAAATGACATTGTTGAAGAGTGAGAATCAAAATGTGAAATTAAGAGATGGTTTATTTGTTTGTATTAATTGTGGATTAGTTCATGGTTATAATTTAGAAGATTGTAAGTTTATTGATTTTTATAATAATATGTATAAATTCAGAAAAAAATCAGTATATATCAGAAAATACCATATGGAAAAAGTTATTTATAAAATTTATGATTTATATAGAATTCAAATATCTCGAAATGGTATAAATAAAATTATTAAAGTATTTGATGTTATTGAAGAAATAGAACCTCAAATAAACAGTAGAAGAAAAAGGATAATATCAATGAAGTTTATAATTGGTAAGCTGATTCATATGATGAATTTATCATCAAATGAAATAAAAACTTTAAAATCAAAAAAGACTATTAAACAATGTAATAAGTATTGGTCTCGAATAAAAAATCTTATTGGAGATGAAATTGATTTGATCCTTACTCAGCAAATTTAGAATCATATGTTTTTTGAGTATTTGTCTGCTAATGGCACATGTCTATTATCAATTCATCAATGACTTTGACATGATTTAAAAACACATGCTCATCAAATTGAAGCCCTCTCAAACATGACCTCAATTCAGTTAATATCTTTTCATAGGATGTGAAAGCAAACTTACACATCTCAATATTTTCTTATAATTCTTTCATTCCAAGAAGGTTTTTAATACTATTCCAGATCCAGACACAATAACAAGGATAATTGGGTTTAGTGTTACACCACCAACGATGGTTCCAGTAGCAATCAATCCAACGGATGTTACTTGACCAATGATATGTTTCCTATTCATGATTTTATGCATTATTTTAAATGTCCAATATTTCTTGTGATAGAATTTATATAAATTTTTTAATTCATCGATTTGGTCTTCAGTTAGTTTGTCTGATATGTGATTCCAACTGAATATTTGACTTGTTGTTTTCATATATATTGGATAGATTAATCTAGTTTCTCCATAATGAAATAACCATAATTCGGTTTTTCATCTAATTTTATACGTGAGGGCCTTGCATCAATTTTTAAAGTTGTGTTTTTTTGAAAGTATAAATTAATGGTGAATGTTAAATTTGTCCAACCTGTAGTTTTTATAATTGGCATTTTTATATGATTAGTAGCTGTGAATTCATTTTTATTCAATTTAAAATTTAAAAATCCAGCTATTGGACAATTGAAACCATCACTGACTGTTATTGTGTATAATCCAGCATTGTTTATGATTATACCAGTTTTATCTATTGGATCGACCGAGAAATCTGAATCAGAACTTTGATGGACTTTGCTGGTGTGGTCTGCGGAAGCATTAGCATACCATAATACTTGTGAAGAGTTATTATGAGCTAATGAACCTCTATACCATATTTTTTTTGTTGCTTCGTCTACATAATATTTTGTGGCTGGGCTGGTTGGTATTTTTGGTTGACGAATCATTAGTGGTGCATTGAAATATATAAAACCATTATGAACTTTACTACACAATTTATCCCAAACATCTTTAACAGGTAAGTCATTGTGATAACCTTTAGAACTGTAAACGACTACCCAAATATCTAAGTTCTGATCATATACCTGACCTGATTTGTTTTTCATCACAACGTCAACCATTAAATAATTAGGTGTTGTATCAGTCCATTTTGTCATATGAGCAATACTTCTAACATGGTTTGAAAATCGATTCTTTAGTTGTCTTTAGACTGTCTCAACAGAGCTTGTAGCACTTAAACTTAACATATTGTGATCGATCTTATTTGATTTCCACCATAATTCAGTGGCGACTGTATATTCTGATTTCACGGCACTGTACATGTTGATTCCAAACCGTGAAGAATAATAACCTTTATTGGTGTCCAAGTTGAGCTTGAATGGTTTTACACGATTATTAAATTCATGAAAGTCACTATTGTCAGTCAGTTTTTGCCCAGAGACGTCATCTTCATCACTGAATTGGCCGGGATCATACATAATAGACCTGAGATCATTACTCAGTCGACTGCTAACACCACGAGAAATGTGGTCATCAACGTATTTCTTTGTGGAACAATCATCTTCATCAGTTGGTGTTGCTGAATTAATTTTTTTTTTGTTACCGAGATTGATGTCACCAGTCATAGATCTGCCGCCATTGAGTGGTAAGCATTTGTCAGCTTCAATGACTGCTTTGTCATCAACGTATTTTTTGTTCGTGGCATCGTTGTCATCAGTTGGTGTTGCTAATCAATTCAGTTATTTTTAATGATCTTGCTGAAAAATGAACGAGTGGGATGTTTTTGATAAAAAGAATTCTTTGTTCACTTCCCAGCTTTGCAGCGTCATTCACAATCGAATCGTATTGTCGTTTGTTCATTGTTCTGATAAATTTCAATTTTTGAAAATCAACAAGAAATTTAACATCTCACTGAGTCACGAATTCTGATGGTGTGTTGAATATACGTGCGATATCTTCCTTTGTGAAGTTTTTGAAAGTTGGTGTTGAATATTTTGAATCCGTTATTTTTTCTCCATTGAGATCTATATCGCCAGTCATAGTTCCACCAGCTAAATCTAATTTACCATCCAATCCATTGATAACAGTACTTAAGTCAGCTTTCTTAACAAGTTCAGCTTGTAATTTATTGTCATTTACAACAGCAGTGCCATTCAATGGTTGATCTGAAATGCCTGTTACTTGTCTGTCAGCACCATGAACACTAGTGAAATTTAAAGCCTTTTCGATGGTTCCACCTTGATTTTTGTTCAGAGAATCAGTGAGATCGGTTCCGCCATGTGGTATTTTTGCTATTTCGTCATGAACATAGTTTTTGATTGCAGCGTCATCATTATCGGTTGGTGTGCTTAATTCAAATATTTTTTTTGTCTTGCTGAAAATTCAGCAAAATCTTGATGATTGAATCCTCTATTTTGTAAATCAGTTTTCAAAGTATCATAGTCAGATTTTGTTAATTTTCCAAGTGAATCTAATGGGATAATTTGTTGCATATGTTGATGAAAAATATTTGATTCAGGAATAGACATCAAACGATTTTCCTGAGTAAAATATCAAGATTACTTTTTGTGGTGGTATTGAAACTTAAAGGTTTGGGATTTCTTATCGTTTTTCCATTAAGATTTATGTCACCAGTCATGGTCCCACCAGGTAAATGTAATTGTTTTGAATTTTCATCGTCAACATATTTTGTATTGACAGCGTCGCCATTATTAGTTGGAGGCCCTAAATTATGAGCCCTGACCCCTGCTTTAATTTACCGGCGCAGTGCCCTACCATTTCAGCTATCAAGCCAACTGGGATCTGGACATTTAAGTGAGTTCTCAAATATGGGGTGTAGATGATGTTTCAGTAAGTGAAAGCGTTACATCAATCCCGCAATAGTAATTTCCGGTCACGATAGCATTATCTGCAAAGATTTTTCAGCCTTTGTGACCCTTTTTTCGAATTAAAGTGAAGTTGGTTTGTCTCCTTTCAAGAGCTAATATGTAGCTCCAAATGGAAAAAAAATTACTCACCGTAAGTAGGTAGATGATCGTCGAAGGGTTTATCCCATATCATGTCTTGAAATGAATCAATAGTTGTTGCGGATATCTCACGCTTAGTTTTTGGCTGATGAAAGCCTTTCGCAAACCACTCCATCTCCGCCTTGAAGGCGTGGGGCATTTGTCTTCAGCGAATTGCATTAGAAGGATTCATGTCCATTAGATGAACAGTGAAAAAGTCAGGATCATTCAAGGGTATCGAACCGCTTTGTTTTATTCAGGAATTTCAATTTCCCGCAATTTGGCTAACAAACAGGCGCACTTACGGTGACTAGGTACCAACTCCCTCTGAGTTATTTCTTAGTGTCCAGTCTATTCTCGGCTTGGGTGACGCGCTGTCTCTAATGGCACGTCAACTTGTTCGCTTCAACATTTTTATGGTGTCAGGAAAAGTCACGTTATTCACGGCATTTCACAACGTTTGTTCTGGGCATACGCATGTTTAGGTTTACGTTTTTCGAGTCAAGGCCCGTTTCCACGGTTTCAACGTTTGCTGCAACATGCTTTCAACACTTTGATGAAACAAATGTTCGATGCGTTTAAACAGGTCCTCCAACATTGTTGAAAATGTTTAAAAAAATGCTAAAAGCTTGTTGAAAGCGTTTTGAATCAAGTTTAAATCGATTTAACCTTTCATTCAACATCGATTCAACTTTCCCTTTGTAAGGCCTTTGTGAGGCCTTTGAAAGGCCCCCGAACAACTTTGGTTTTTCGTCCAACATTTGCCCAACATGCGTTCAACTTTTGTTGAACGAATGTTGATCAAATGTTGAAATGTTTAAACCGTTCAAACGAGCCTTTACACGTTAGGCCTGCTTCTGGGCGAAACCATTTCTATGTTCCCCGCGCAATTGTTTTCAAATTCTATTGACAAGTGAAAGGGTGAGATATTTTTGCTAGACGGTAATTTCTTTTTAGTTAGAACTTTCATACCGCATGTTTTGTCGGAATCAGAAAACTTAAGCTATTCCACCCACGCGCACTCATGCACTAGTCCTGACTACATTTATGAATAAAGTGTGAAAGTTTCTAAAAAAAAAAGTGGTGCTGCGTCGTTGGGGGTAACAAGATAATTTGGTTATATCAACTAAGTTGAAATTGTAAATTGGCCACCGTAACGAGTTACAAAGCTGACTTTTCGAGCGTTAGCCTTTCGCCAGGGCGAATGACGAAGGGCTAACGCTCGAAAGGACAGCGTTTTAACTCGTTACGGTGACCAATTTACAATTTCAACTTACTTGATATAACCAAATTACCCGACTATATTTAATCACTTCTACTTCTGTGCGAAACCATTCTCGTTCTGGGCGAAACGATGTGGGCGAAACTCGCTATATTCCTCTGGCCCAGCGATTGCCCGCCGACCTCGAAGAGAACATTGTGCGGTTTCATCGCTTCGTCATTGCAGCAAGAAAACGCGCCGACTACCCTTTATCCCGCATCTACAACATGATGAAATACCCATGCGTTTTGAGGTGCCATCGAACCGAACACTGGAATTCAGTGGGAGCCGAACAGTGCCAGTAAAATCTTGCGGAGCGGAAAAGCGGAGCTTCACCGTCGTTCTTGCTGTTGCTGCCGATGGAGCAAAGGTGCCCCCGAAAGTCATCTTGAAAGGCTGTGCCGCATCCTCTTCGTGTTTCTTTCCATAAGAAAGGGTGGATGGATGAACAGGGCATCCGAGAATGGATTCGACAGAGTTTGCCACGTGCTGAGCGTTCCCTTTTGGTGTGGGACTCATTCCAAGCTCACTTGACCGATTCCGTGAAAGATGACCTGAAGCAGCGAAACATTGACGTCGCAGTTATCCCTGGAGGCCTAACCCCGGTTGTACAGCCCTTGGATAAGTGCCTAAACAAGCCATTTAAAGATAATGTGCGCCGAAAGTACTTGGCATGGAAAACATCGGGGCCATTTGAGTTTAACCCAGCTGGGAAGGTGGATCAAGGAAGCATGGGCAGAGATACCCCAAGAGATGGTCATCAAATCCTTCAAGACCTGCGATATTTCCAATGCTTTGGACGGAACAGAGGACGAAGTGGTCTACTCTGAGGAAACCCCAGAACTAGATGATGAAGACATGGAAGAGAACAAGTTCGAGACAGACAGCGAAAACGAAACGGATGGCGAGTAAACCATTGGGTTGAAAGCCCTTGCACATATCCGTCAAACAGCTCCTTTAGGAGCCACCAATTTCATAAAAGTGAATAACCAATATTCAGAAGTTATTTTTGTTGTGTTTTATTACTTCTGCTTCATTGCTAACTTGACTACAAGCCGGGGGGGTAAAGTTATTCAGCAACTGTATATTTTTAAAATCTAAAACCCTCGGCTACAAGCCGAACCCCGTTCTTCGTGAAAAGTCTCCCAAAATTTTGGGTCAAAAACTGAAGAAATCGCTCGGCTCATAGGTGAAGAAATACGGTAGATTCACTCACCTGTGGGTAAATTTACAATCTCTCTGGTCTGTACTTCCCTTGTGCAACTGTGGTTAATTCAAGAGATAATTTGCCCCTATTCTTGGTAATCAACTCTAGCACCAAATGGAAATAAAATTTTATCAACCACATTAAACTTTCACCAAATTTTTCATTGAAAGCTACTTCTTCCTTGCAGAAGCTGTCAACATCACCCCATTGTGAACCTCCAAACTTTGCATCGACTGTCAGAGCCACCCTCCTTCATATTCTCACTCATCCACAGCCTTTGATTACAGTGTTTCCAGAAGGAAAGCCCCGCATTTACAAACGGTCTAATGGTGAAGAGAATTGGACTCAAACCAGTTAATAACACAGAAACAGGGTTTTTAGTTTACCAGCCAAAGTACTTGCAGAAGAAGTTGTGAGAAAGTAGGTCACTATAATGGTAACACCTAATTTTTGTGTGATGAGGATCAGAATACACAAGTTTATCAACTAAAGAAATACAGAGACAAAACATGTAAATATCATCAAAGTTGAGTAAGATGCATAAAAGTCAGCAGATAGACACGAGTACTTTAATACTGAGAGAAAACAGTTAAATCAATGCACTGGAAATACTCATACAACTGAAAGCCAAACTTGTGGACAGAAAAAGAATGGAAATTAAGGTGCAAGAGACAATTCAGAAAGTTGTGGCAAGATGTAGATTACCCACCAAGCTTCTTATTCGTGAAACTAAAAATGAAGTCAAACTTGTGGATGGACATTAAATTTTATTGATACATTACATCCCAAAGTGATTACAAACAACATACAATTGTATTTATGTCTCAATAAATATAGATTCATCAAGTTATAAACTGGCCAGTTGTTTAACTTACAGACAAAAAGGTTCTCAAAATCTAAAAACATGGTGTCCCTGCCATTAAGATCAGATACATCAATTCATAAATCTACCAGTGCAAGTTACACACAACTAAGGGGAAAGAAGGTTCAATTTTGAGGCACCTTCTTATCTGGGGCACACTATCATAAGAAACAACCCACAACAGGTCAAAGATCCCTTCCCCAATACAATAGACTCCCCCCTACTGGCATCAAAGCTATGGATTCACAGAATTGAGTCAAGGTTTGCACGATAGGACTAGCATTTATGTACTTCTGAAAGACCAATTCTGTTTTACTTGACTATTACTTTATCACTCAGATTCAACTCTGTATGATGTTTTAGTGCAGTGGACAAAACTACGAGAATAATTCAATTTTATTAATGTACACCATGCAAAAATGGAATTAAACCTGTAATTTTTGTGCTGTGGGGCACAAGGGAAAACAAATGAAACTGGATTTTCAGTTCCACTTCCCTTGGGAGATTGAAAGATAGAAACAGGTTTCATGTTTGTCCTTCATTATCCAAAAAATGTAAACTGAAAGAAAAATTTTCTATTTTTACTATACAACACTTTTCAAGCAAAAGAAAGTTATTGTATCCAGGTAGTATGAATTAACTGCAAGTTACTGTTTTTCAAGTCTTAAGCATTATTGAGAGAAGCTGTTCCGAAGGGCACTTCTGTTTGTAAGGTTCCAAAATAACAGAAGCAAGGGGAAAAATAATCATTTCAAAGTCGCCTATGAATTCCCTATTAAAAAAAAACAACAACAACTAAAATCAAAATTGGCAATGGGCACTCTGATGCCCAAATCTATAAAAAACAAAATAAATTAAAAAAACAAGAAAATTAGTCCTTGAATCCTGTTTTCCAATAAGGTGCGAAACCACACAATGAAAACTGAAGGCTGAATTCCATTTCATGCTCTGCACTAAGGTACACTTACTTCTAATGTCACAATAGAGTTAAAAATAATGGAAAAAAAGGACCTTTAATCTGTTGATGTTTTATTGCAAGAGAACTGGTGCCATGAGTAATAAAAATTTGATCAGTATCCATAACAACAATTTATCACCTGATCACTGGTAATTTGACTCTTTGCACTCTCCTTTTGGGAAATCCAAGTTCTGTCCATAAACTGACTAATTGAATAACAGACATTCCATCTGAGTCAATTTTATTAAATCCTGGTTTAAATGTGCATGCAACAGAGCTAACCATCATCAATGAACAGAGTGTAGTTGAAGTTTCTAAACTTACTACTTTTCAGTTGTACTTTCCTGCTGTAGCTATTTCATAACCAATATGTACATGTAACAATTAAAAAAACAAAACAAAACAAATATCACAAAGTACACCATACAGTAAATTTCACTGTTCTCCTTTTAATTCTTCTTTTTTAACAAGAAAGCTGCTGGTGATTACTTATTCTGAAACCAGTCAAGCTGAATTTCTTTTTGCATTGTATTACTCATAACCTCAACCGCTTTTTTTTCCAAGAACCTTCAGGCAGTGGCTGAAAAAAATAAATGAGCCAATACACAAATAAGTAAATACAATAAAAAAAAAAAAGAAACATAGTCAAAGTTTTACTTATCAGTATATTTTATCAGCCAAAAACACAGACAATAATGATAATAATAATAATAACCTTTTTTGGATTAGTTAGTGTACATTTATTTTTTACTCCATGGCTCACAGGTTACGGTTTTTGCCCTGTGCTGCCTGATTAGAATGTAGCATTCAGTTGATTTCTCTGCAACATAATAATAATAATAATAATAATAATAATAATAATAATAATAATAATAATAATAATAATAATAATAATAATAATAATAATAATAAAGGAACAGCAATTTAGCACCACCTTCCATTGCATGGCGCTAAGAGTAGTAAGTACCTTCTTTTCAAAAATTTAAGAATATCTCATTGGACAAAGAATACTCCTACTTAAAATCATTTTGCCACCTGAGATATTGTGGCAAACGATGTAAGGAACACAAAGGAGCTAAGATGACATATCTTGGAGGCACCTGTCTTGTAGCTTCTATGAATTATATTGATTTGGATCAACATACTATCAAAAAATCTTTACTGAAAATATTGTGATTTTCAACTCATTCCTCTATTGAAAAACAAACATAATCACATACACTTTTTTCATGTGGTAAAGTAAAGCAGGAAGGAAAGTATTATTCTTAAGTGGCAACACCAACAACTGTAAGAATGAGCCATGGAATTAATTATTCCTCAACAGCAACTACATTACTTTGTCGTGCATCATACGTATTTCTTTGTTGATTAGAAGGCAAAATGTTCCGAACATGATGAGTATCATATAACATTTAAAAGAAACGTTTTGTCATATTCAATCTAATTAGAAAGAGCAATATACCTAATGCAATTTGATTAATCCCAGCAAGCAACATACCAAGTGCAATCTGATTGATGCCAGCAAAGAAAAAATTCTGATGATTTCAGATATTAGACTCAGAAAGGCACCAGGAAAAGTATAGTTGCTGGAGTAATTACAGGAGGTCCAGAGCCTAGTCCATTTCATGTCACCAGTTATTTATATTGCAACAAAGTAATTTTTCAAGTGGTCAACAGGTAAAGCAGCCACCTATTGAAATATTACTCAAAGTACGGTGTTGACTTTTTAACACTTGGGAGTGACAAGCATATAATTCCTCCCTACAGTATCAGTATATATATATTATACAGTATCAGTATATATATATATATAGTATCAGTATATATATATATATATAACTGCATATATATATACAGTATATATATACAGTATATATATATACAGTATCACCCTTCAACACACAACTGAGATCACAAGAACAAAGATAACCGTCCCTGATTAGAGGGTTTTGATTGTTAATTTGTCCTTGTCAGTACCTTAGGAAATATATGTTGAACAGTATGGGGAATATGCATGCTGATGTTAGGGTGTAGAGGGTTTACCAAAGGGAACTACACCCAGACATAATTAGTTGAGAAACTTCACCATTAGAAATGCATTTTGGTATAGATTCTAGAAGCCTATTCACTGTAATGATAGAAACTGCTTGTTGATAACTTGTTCTTCACAACCACCATAAGATTCTCTAGTTATAATGTAATTGTTGAACCATTTGTTTAATTTTAGAGAGAGAGTGGGAAATAAGTCCTCTGGGCATTTCAGGTCCAGCCCTCTAACTGGAATCTTTAACAAATGTCATTTACTCTTCCACTCAGCAGCTTTCACCTATCCACAATTATGACTAGGAGAATTACTGTATCTTACAGAAGTACAGTATTGATCTGTGTATAAGTCGACCCCCTATTTTCAAGCTCAAAACTCGGAATTTTCATCATTTCTAGTTAAAGAAAGATTCAGACCAATAGAAATTTCCCAAATGGTTGATCTCTTAATTCTGAGAATGTATTGAAAATACGGTGAATTAAAAAAAACTGCAGAGCAAAATGTAACTGTATGCTGTGAAGTTTAGTAGCACTTGTTTACATCACCACGATTCACGATTTAAGCATATAGAAGCACTTCAATTTACTGGAGAAGTAATTTACCATATTTTGTAAATCGCTTTGAAAATGAAATCTTCATGCATTTAATAACCCTTCTCTTAATGTTGAGTTTGAAAGGAGATTTGGTAGACCAAAGGAACACTGAAGAGCTTCGAGGGATGGCTTGATGAAAACACCGCCATCTTAGAAAACTTGCCAGCACTTGCCATGTCACTAAGCTACTGTAATCATTCGATGAAAATGAGAATTCAAGACAGTGGAAAGCAGCAGAGCGGTAAGGAAAAATGTCTGCTCTACAGATCAGAAGATACAATAGAAATTACCTCCAGTAGGTTTCTGTTTAAGCCACGTAAATTCTACTATTTCAAACCTTTTTGTCAATGAAGAACGCGCTGAAAACTGACGAAACTCGAACACAATTAGAACTGGTTTTGTAAACTCAGTTTTCCTAACAGACTTCAGGCAACTGTTATGCTAATTTCTTGGATTGCTTGGGTCGGGTCTTTGTGTATGATCCGTGTATAAGTCGAGGGTGATTTTTCAGTCATAAAGGGTTGACTTATACACGGATAAATACAGTAAGTTCTTCAAGTATTGTTCTATGCAAGGAATTGTTTCACAATAAAAGCAGCAAAAAAGTGCCCAGGGAGTGAAGCCTGCACAGCAAGCATTTTCAAGTATTCTCACAGTGTTAAGAAGAGGTAAAACAAAAGTGAGGGGCAACCGTGCAATAGGTTTGGGAGAAAATTGGAGAAAATACTTGCTGGCATTAGCAGAGCTTAGTTTTGAACAAGACAGCAAATAAAAAATCTCAATGACTAAGAATGCTGAGGACCATTAGGACACAAGGGATATTAGATTGACCACAATCAAAGTGAAAAATGTTACAACAAACACAACAGCTGGTGTAGAGGAAAAGCACGTTGTTTGATTCAGTAACATTCAACATGATGTTTAAAAGATTTGTGACTGTTAAACAGGTACAAAACATGCCATCAATAAAATGGAAATGGAAGACAGATGTAGTTCATGGTATGTTCTGTTTTTGAAATATAGTAATGAAAAGGAGAATTTTAAGAATTTTTTTATCTCACTGAATATTTTTCTCTTTTGAAGCCTTTCTGGTTTAAGTAGCTACCTCAGCACTTTTTAATTTTTGCATCCACAAAAGGCACTTACAAGGAAACTCTTAATGTTTTTGGATGGTGTGTCATGTAACAGGTTTCTTTGATTTGGGTGGATCAATGAGGTTGTTGGCGAGAAGTCTGAAGGGAAAGCTCTGGATAAATGAGTTTCAGCAGGTGATTTATCTGCATGCTCAAACTCAGCAAATAGATTTTGATCAGCCACCTTTATTTTCAAAATAAAAGTAAATGACCCTTCCCTTATTTTTTCTTTTCCTTTTTCTGATAATCTCAAACACAGTTTAATTAAGGAGTGGTTAAGAATCCCCAAATACAGTGTTCTGAAAGAGAATTTCCAGTGAATTCAAGGTTCAGGAACCTTCATCACCTGACCAGCAGTATTTTGTGTTCAAGGCAATAAGTAATTCTGATGAACAAACTAAACATACCTTTCTTCTTGGCTAGACTAAGTCTATCTCATTGCTTTCTCACAGGAAGGGATTGCTTTGAACTGTTTGCTGGGGTCTGGAGGAAGAATCTGGAATTAGAGGCAAGGGTAGTAATACTCCTCCACTGACACTTGGCGTGCTGTTTGGTGTGCTGTTTGGTGCTGCAACTGGCTGGTCACGTAGCTGATTCAATGTTGGTGCTTGAGGCTTATCTTGTACAAATGGATTAGTTGATCTTGATGATGCTGGTTTGCTGGACATGAAAGGATTGGCAACAGGATCAGGTTTTTTTGTCAGCAAATCTAAGTTCACCAAATTAGAAACCCTGTTATCTAGGAATTCCTCACCACCTGTTGACTTTATAGATACTCCATCTCTACTTTCAAGATTGAATGGTACCAATGGTGGCTGACTTGAAATTCCACTGGTAGTTACACTCTGGTTGAAAGCATTGAAACCCTCAGGCTGCGACGGTTCCCAAGGTCCTCGAGGTTGTGGTGCCACTTCTGCAGGGAATACGTCTCTTCCACTCCATGGGTCACTTGGGGGAGGTGCTGTGGCTGAACTGGTCTGTACAGAGGCTGTTCCCCAGGGATCTGTTCCTCCAGCCATAACTGCTTTGACAGATGTGTTGTTTGAAGCTCCAAAAAGATTCTGTGATGAGTTTACTGGTAACTGATAAGATGCACTGTTGTCTCCCCAAGGATTGGTAGGAGCAGTGGCAGCTGAATTGGTACCACTTACCCATGGATCAGGTTGTGGAGTGGAAGGTTGTGCTATGGATGGTTGTGACATGTGGGCACTTACAATTCCTGATGGTTTAGAACCCCAAGGATCAAACGTACCCTGGGAAACCTGAACACCATTGCTTCCAAACTCCAGTGGTGATGGTTCCTGAGGTGTAGAAATTTGTTGACTTTGGCTGATGGCTATCTGTAGGCGCTGATCATCTCTCTCATTCAATTTTTCTTTTTCTTCTGCCTCTTGTTTGCTCAGTGCCAAAGCTAATTGCAGCTGTAATTCTTCCTCGTTAGCATTTGACGGACGGCAGGTTTCCATTTCGCTGCCTAGGACTTTCCTAGCGGGTTCCCACGAGCGGCTAGTTGGTACACCAGTTGCTGGTGCTGCTGAGGCACCCAGACGCAAATCAGATGTGCTACCCGAGTCTCGTAAGTTTCCGGCTTTCACCGAATCGCTACCGATGCCAGAACTGGCTTGTGCGAATCTCTCTTTAGCTTTCAACGCTCGCGCCCTTTCACTCTTCAGCCGATCTTCGTCTTTCAGTAATGCAACAAGCTGTTTAGCCTTTTCACGTACGTTCATTCCCTGATCTTTACCGTCTTTATCGATGAACTGAAAATCTTTTAAAGTTTGAATTGCGTACAAGTTCTCTCGGCATTGCTGAGCTACTCTTTCAGTGCCAGTCTTAATAATGTAATCCAAAACAACCAGTGACTTGTACACGTGCCTCCAATTTTTTCCATGGTCGTTGAGTCTTTTCCAAATCATTCCCATTATCTCTGAAAAGGCAACCACATTGTAAGTGGCATCGGCAATCTCAGTCATCACGGAACTTGAAGGTCCCCAAGGGTCGTTCGAAGTAGCTTCGCGAACTTTTACTTCGGCGTTCGAGTAGTTGTTTACCACGTTCTTTAACTGGCGTCTAACAGACATTTCAATGTTTTAACTCTTGTTCTTAACAGACAAGTGAGGTAAAGTGGGTTTCAGTCAGAAGTAACAAATCAAACTCCAAATTTAACACAATATTCCACCAAAATGGCGGACATACTACAACGCCTCGCGAATGTCGATTTCAATAAGATTCCCCCCAGCAAAGCCTCCCACATATTGATGATTTGTCCCCAGGCCCTACCCTAAAAAAAAATTGTTACGCGTTTGGCTTTGACTTGCGTATTTGGTAAACCAAAAGAGAATGATGAGTTCAACTTGCAAAAAGGTTTACGTTGAATTCGCCACCACAACGAACTCGCCACCACTAAACTCACCACCACCAAACTCGCCACCATTGAGAGTCAAATTGCCACCGGTGGCGATTTGACTCATATTAGGCGCTCTGTGTAGCCACTAAATGAGAGCTAAGTCGTAGTAGTTTATTGCGAAATTAAACGCGAACAAACAAAAACAGCGAAAATAACTCAAACTTTACGTTAACCGTTAAATATCACGAAGACTACGTACGGGGAAACCAGAATGATTTTCGCCAAGTGATTTTCGCCGATGTTCATGAAAGCTAAGGTGTAGTATGCCTAGGTTTAAGAAATGGACTTGGTGTCCTTCTTTGTGTTACTAAGCACAAAGAACGTAGACGTAACCTTTAACAAGAGTTTCATTCTTTTGAACGCAAATCGTAATCATATCTAATGAAACTTATATCACATAAAAGATTAGAAGTTAAGATAATTTTGGTTCTGATGATCCAAATTGATAGTGTCCCCAAACACGGTGTATTTCGGGGCGTCTATATATCTCGAAAAATTTCGAATGATTTAACGAATGCAGCGGTCAGAAGGATGATCGATGACATACCACTTATTATGCTAATAAATGCAAAGTTTGCCCCAATTGCCCTTCAAGGACTTCTCACACCAAGTTGCTTTCTGCAAAGTTTCAAAGCCAAAAAAATTTAAAAACTTCATGATCTAGGCTTTCACATGATATGAGTTTCATTAGATTTGATTACGAATTGTCATAAGGGCGAGACTCTAGTTACTAGTTAAAGGCCTCGTAGTCTTCTGATCGCAATTTTATCTGCTTGTTACACCATAGTTAGTAGAGGGGTCCCCCTCTACTAACTATGATTACACAAAGAAAGGACGCCAAGTCTGTTTCTGTAAACTCCGCTGCATTTTCATGTAAGCCGTATCATACGATTTCATAAACATCGGCGAAAGTCACTTTGGTTTCGCTGAACGCAAACAGATTATCGTCGTGATAACGTTACCGTTCCACAATTGAAACGCTACACATAACTGTTGAGTCCCTTCCCCTCTTCGCGATATGCTACTACACTCTTAGCTTTCATTTGACGTAACGGTTTCATACCTCAGGCTATACATGACGTCGGTGGCGATTTGACTCTCAGTGGTAGCGAGTCTGGTGGTAGTTGGTTTGTTGTGGTAGCGAATTGACCGGACACCGTCAAGAATATCCTTGGACAAATGAATAAATGGGGTAAGTTTTCTAAAGAAACTGTGCCGGGTGCTGTATCGCTTGGGGGTCTTACAAGATAATTTGGTTTTATCAACTGAGTTAGAGAGTTTACAAGTTCTCAGTCGATAAACCAAATTATATTATTATACATTCTCTTACGTCATACCTACAGACAATATATTTTATAAGGGTTAGACTTGCTATCCATAAAACAGTGCTCGATACATATAATAGAGCGAGTATAACGTGTGATAGGCTGAAAAAATCAACTACATTTCATCCCTCAGACCTGTTTCGTGGCTGCCCACTCATCATTAAAATCCCCTGATGAGTGGGCAACCACGAAACAGGTCTGTAGGGAGGAAATGTAGTTGATTTTTTCTGCCTATCACACGTCAATAGATTTTATATATGTAGAAGAGACGTCATACCTGCAGACAATAGTTTTATGCGCTCTTGTCTTTACAAGTGCAGCTCAGGAATATGGAATATGGATATGCATGATAAAACAATTATTGGATTCGGTTTCTCATGATGGCGATAATTATCAAGGCCTCAGGTTGTGTTATTCGCCTCAGCCTTCGCCTTCGGCAGATAATACAAACTTTGGCCTTGATAATTATCGTTATCATGCTTAACCTCATCCAATAATTGTCAAATATTATTTTTAACAAACCCAAAATGACCCCACCCCGGCTAGGGTTGTTGTGCTTGATCTGAGAACGAGGTGGCTGATGGTTACAAAACAAGCTCACTAGCAATGTCCCGTGTGGAGATCTGTTCCCTTGCTTACGAGGGAAAATTTAACGAGTTAACGGAAAAAATTGAATTGAAACCGAATTTAGCGACCAAGTTAGACGAGGTAAGGTTCGATTCCAACGTGAGTCGTGTAAAACTTCTTTCTTGTTCGCCATGATTCTTCTCAACAGTGACAACTGGTTAATCAGATTAGTTTTAAAGCAGATCGATTTAAGTACAATCTTTCACTTCTAACTATACTTTTTTGCCGAGATTATATTTCTTAGCGACCATGTTAGCCACAGACCACATCTTCATTGGGTTCATAGTGTGATAAACTCAATGTTTTAGATTTATCATGCTAATCCTAGGGAAGATGTGATATACATATATTTTTATCAAATTTTCAACTCCGAATGTCGCCTTTCCAGTCTTCTGATTGGTTCACTATACTACGGTTATAGTAACTATAGCCTCTATTTGGCGAGAAAATATGCAGGGATATTTGTCCGCGGACTTATAAGTTCTAAGGTGCGAACAGTTTTGCGAGAGCAAAGCTTGAGTAAAGCTGCAAGCTTCAAGGAGCAGATAACGTCTGAGGACAAATACACAAACATATTTTTGTGCAAAATAGAGGTAGTGGTATGTATAAAAGCGATCCTTGCAGTAATAGACCCTACCTACATAGTAGTGGAAATAAGGCTTGAAATAAATTCAGGCCCGTATGGGATTTGAACCCATGACCTCTGCGATACCGGTGCATTGCTCTACTATCTGAGCTAACAAACCAACTGGGAACTGGTCATTATGTTGGTTGGCATTAAACCAGTCAAGGTGATAAATCAATGAGTTTCAATATATGAAAATCATAGATGTGTACTGTGGTTTCATGAAACGTATGAAAGTGATCCTCACAGTAATAAACCCTACTTATATAGTAGTGGAAATAAGGCCTGAAAAAAATTCAGGCTTATACGGGGAATTTTTTTTCAGGCGTAATTTCTACTCTTACATCCACCGAATGCAAATAATGGCGTCCAATTTGAATTGCCATTGTTCTAGACTCACTAGCCTCATCTTCACATGGAAAACACAAAAGCATTATTACATGTGTGAGAGGCTAGTGAGTCCAGAACAATGGCAACTCAAATTAGTCGCCAGTAATATTTGCATTCGGTGTATGAGTAGGGTTTAGTACTGCGAGGATTGCTTTCGTACATTCATGAAACCGCAGTACACATCTATGATTTTCCAATATTCAAATTCAGAGGTAATGGTGTTTATCATCCTTCAAATATTTTGCATACTGTTTGCTATAAAGTGTTCTCTAGTAGAACTTTGTGAACAAAAAAGATTTTCCTTGTTCTGTAACAACTGTATAACACTGTCTTCTTGAATTAAACTTTAAATAAAGACTTGTGCCGTTGTTAGATAGCAAATTGGTTATAGCCAACTTGGGACTTTGCATGTTGTTAGCTTTTTACCATGTCATATCCAACCCACTCATAGAATAATTGTTAAGAGAAGATGTCACTAAAATCAGACAAATTCACAAATCACTAGCAACAGTCAAAATATCGAATTGGCTCATATTCTAGTATAAGGTAGACCTACATGTAAAACAAACCAAGACATGTGTAGTTTGTTGAAAAATTCTTTTGTTTTGGAGAAAATTGATAAAATTCAATTCACACATAATTATTTTCATTCGAAGGTTGAATTTAGCCAATTTTTGGAGGCCTTGATTGTAATTGAAAAAGCAATGAAAAACTTTCTTATTCCACAGACTTTTAGAACAATGTGTTCCCTATGTTTTCATAAAAAAGTAGAATCACTATTTAAATATGATATAAAATATGGATTTTTCTATCTATTTACCTAAGTGCCATGTGAAAAGTAGGGTAGCTTCAAAAAAAAACTTTATATGTGCTAAGTGAAATGAACATTTAATATTTTGAAATATGAGAAGTAGAAATGATAAACTTACCATTTGTAGGGTTGTTTTTCTGGGGTTTTTGCGCTGCAATGCATACGAAGGTTTTAAATTCATAGAAATTTTGCTTTTCGGCTTAGCACATCTAAAAATAGTAATTGTACTTTTTTGTGAAAACATAGGGGAGACATGGTGCTAAAAGTCTGCGGAATAAGTAATATTTCATTGCTTTTGCGAGTACAATCAAGGCCTCCAAAAATAGGTTAAATTCGACCTTTGAATGATACTGAATTTTATCAATTTTCTCCAAAACAAAAGAATTTTTCAACAAACTACACATGTCTTGGTTTGTTTTACCTATAGGCCTACCTAATACTAGAATATAAGCCAATTTGATTTTTTTGACTGTTGCCAGTGAATGGTTGATTCTTCTTAACAACCTCTCTTAAATATATACCCCCTTTATAATGTAAATGTGGCTCAGTACTCAGGACCTCACTGGTCCTTCAAGTTTCTAAGCCGGTGATTTATCAGTTTCTCAACTTCCACAACGATGTGTACATGTATGGTGAGAAACTCACATCTATTGTGATGCAACAGTGGGTTTCCTCTTCGTAAGTAACTAGGCCACCCTCTGATTAGTGATCTAGTTGTATGCTACTTAATGGAACATTCTTTTTCTCAATTATATTTTAATTTAGGTAACCAGTGAACATTTAACCTCATAACTTATACTTATAACTTAACATAACTTATATGGCAATGACCATATCTAGCAACGTTCACAAGTGTGAATAATGCTGTTGTCTCCAGTTGTATGATGCTGTGAGAGAAATAAGTCTTTTTGTCACTTAGCAACCTGTTTGGCCACAATAAATAGCAAACTGGTACCACCTGATAACGGCCTGATACAGAACAGTAGTTTGCTGTAGGAAATTGTGACTAAATTTGATTTACTTTAAATTTGTGAATAGTACTGTGAAAATTGAAATACTGCCCAGTCCCAGCTGCTAGGTATAAAATAACCTAGGTGGTTAAATGTATCATAGAACTGTAGAGCGCTTGAGTACCATCATTTTCACATCCAGTTCAGTAGTCAGTTATTGTAGGTGAATGCCAAACCCATATCATCTATATGTGTAACTTTTTTCTGTATTACAGAATGAGCGCATGCCACTTCACTGGGCTGCATCTGGTGGACACAGTGACATTGTTAAACATTTACTTGATCTTGGAGTACCAACTGATAACAAAGATGATGTAAGTGGTAGAATTCCAATTTTACAGACAAGGGATAGGGTTTGCTTGTGTATGGTGGATATAATACTATATATGACCACACAATGGACTAATGTTTGTTCATAACATTTTAAGGGGCCAAAGGATATATCTTTTTTGTGTGTAGTAAGGCTGTGAAGTGGGTGAAGTGAAAATTATACATTTAGTGACAAGGTTTACCCTTTTTCAATTGGATGTATTTCTTGTTTATTTCTTCATTGTGATAATCTTTGCTCTTTTTGAAACTTGGGTGGTGACTACTCAAGGGACTTGAGTGTAGAGGGAGTTTGTTGTCAAAAGTAAAGTGGCTACAATCTCTTTGTAAGACACAGGTTTGAGGCTCTTGGCTTAATTTGGAATGTACTCTAAATTCCATGAGAACATTTGCCGTCAATATAACCAAGGTTTAAGGCCAGTTTTAAGAAATGATGGTTTGTCTGGGAGGTTAAGTCTGAAATATGGCTTTGTAGGTTTTCACAGACACTTTTGCTCTTGCCTTAAATGAGAACTTTTATTTTCAACCTTTAATTTTTTCTGTTAACTGTTATGTTTACAATTTAGAAAAAAACTTCTAAGAACACAAATGTTTTTTTACTTTGAAATTCAATTCAACCTTTTGTCTTTTGTTGACATGTTTGAACTTGGATTGATTGCAATAAAGTATGAATTTGAAAGCTAAAAAAGCTGTTTTGTTCTGAAAAGTTCATTTCTAAATTGTGAACATAACAGTTATAGAAAAAATTGAATGTTGAAAATAAAACTTGGATTTTGGAAATAAAACTTGAATTTTGGCGGGGATTTAAGGCCTTACCTATTCAGTTACACACTCCCTCAGAGGCAGACTACTGATAATTTGTATTGTGCTTGCATGGTCCAAAGTCAAATCGTCTTTTTCAAATATGTTTTAAATAACTTGACCAAATATTAGGCTCAGTGGACTCCTCTGATGATTGCTGCATCTGCTGGAAGAGATACCATTGTCTACATGTTGATCAGCATTGGAGCTGATGTTAACAGCAAAAATGAAGGAGGACAAACACCACTACATTATGCAGCATCAAGAAACAGATATGAGGTGATGCATTGCAGTCATCATGGCCTCACAAGTTTACTCCCAAATCAACAATTAATTGGCAGAGAGGTACCCAAAATGCAAGACAATCACCATAGATCCAAAAATTTTTTCCCTCTAAGAAGCCGTTAAAAGTTATTGCTAAAGTTTTCGATAAGCACTGGTGAAAGGGTCCTGTTACCATATGCAAATTACTAAAAATATGGACCCCCTGTGGCCTGACCTTTGGTAAGCTACCACCTTCCATGAGGGACCACCTAGACTTGACATTTTGGGTGGTTGCTTATGACCACTTACAGAAGGTTCAACTGTACAAGGCATTCATTTGCTGTACAAGGTGGTGTTCTGAAAATCTTTTAACTTTTTAGGTTTGAAGTTTTCAGTAGTGTAATTAATCTCTCATTATCCAAGCCAGCTTGATACCTTGATGGGAGAAATATCAGCCCTGTGTCTTTTACATCAAAATCAAGGGCTTATCTAGTATGGCCTTAGCAGTTGGCTGATAAGATTTATAAATTTTTACTGATGCTTTTTCATTCTCTCAGATTGCAGAATTGCTACTTCAGAGTGGGGCTTATGTTGATGTACAGGACAAAACAAGTGCTGCTACCCCTCTACACCGCGCTGCATCGCAGTTAGTAAATCCCTCACTTAAACATGATTTAAGATGAATTCTGCTTGATTTTTCGAACTAGAATTTATCACGTAACAATCTTCACTGAGTGACTACGCTGTCTGGTTTTTGTTTTAATATTCACAGGGGCCACTCCAAGATTGTCAAGTTGCTCTTAAACCACAATGCAAGTTGTAATATACAGGATGCTGAAGGCAACACTGCTCTGTATGTTTCTTGCTTGTACTGGCCCCCTTTTTCCTTGCTGTCTTTGGCTAATGGCCGATTATTGGAAGCCCATATTTGTCATACCTTTATTAATGTCGTTCTTAACCAAAGATGACGCACATACATGCTTTTTATATTTTGTTTGTGCTCCATGTCCCAGTTTTCAGTAATTCTCTTAGAATATGTGGCTTCACTTGTCAATTGCCACAGCGTCCAGAGGGCAAATTTCTTTTAAAACTGCCAACTGTTTACAAGAGCAGACTAAGGGCCTTTGAAAATTTAGTTGTTAGGATTATTTTGTTCTTGTTGATGGGTGGTCGTTCTAAGAGAAGTGTTCAAGATCTTCAAATAGTAGGGCGTTAAGATCTTTGGGGCAATTCCAGTTTCAGGAATAAATATACTGTTGCCTTCTTGAATATTCTTTTTTCCTTAGTCATATGGCCTGTGAGGAGGATAGGGCAGAAATAGCTGTCACACTGGTTGAAAATGGGGCTAGTCTCTACATAGAAAATAAGGTAAGGCTCTCATTAACTAATGCATCTTAGAAATGAACTCTTCAATTTTCACTCGCTAAAGCACCCAATTTCGAGACCTCACGTCCTAAAGCGTTACACGGAGAGGAGAAGTGAAGGTCTGTATACTGCATGAAGCGTATCTGCCATTACGAAAGCCAGTTAAACCTACTCTAATGATAATAGTGGTTGAGAATTGAAGACGGAATTATGCAAGCTTTTGGTTGATTGTAAGTTTTTTTTCTAACCTTTATTGTAACCTTTCAGATGAACATGCCGCCTGTGGAACTCGCTAACAAGAGACTTGCAAGACAACTAATTCGCCTGAGTGACAGCTGACGTTCTCCCGCTCTGTTCACTTTTTGAGGAAGGTTTGATGTCAATGCTGGCCCTCTCCTGCGTAATAATTATGTCCACCAGTAGCAGATTAAAAGGGTCATTCATTGAGTGCGTATTAGTTTTTGTAGTGTAAAAGTGTCATGTCTCTCGCATAGAACTGCAATGATCGTGTATAATTCGAATGTTCATCCCAAAGACTCATGCGGTGCCTCAAATATTTGCCTTTTACTTTTATCTCCGTAGAAAAAGATGGATTGCGAAGAGATTCGGACCCAATTGCCCTTCCTCTTATCTTAATAATGTTTTAATAATTTTTTTGCGTTAGTTCCCTACAATGAGCCTAGAGTACTTACAAGTGCCGTGAACAAGCCATATTTAAACGATACACGTCGCGCGAGGGTGGTGTTTATTTCAAGGTTACATTACTTAACCCAGTAACACCACTAACAGCAATTGCGCAAAATCGTTTTGTAAATATTATGTAAAACAGAAATTTCTTTAAAGTTCCAAGTCCCGCTCTTTTGATATAAATTCCTCAGAAAGGTACTGAGTTTTCTAGCCTTGTTAACCTTCTAGTTATTTTAGGAAGCCAACACCCTCTTAGTTTTAATTTTTTATATGGGGGCCCAAACTGGTCAAAATGAGGTTAATAATTATTTTCGTATTTTAAATAATTATATGTACTTGAAAAGATAATTTTTCGTGGTGGAAAATTTAATTATATGTAGTGTTCATTATAATTATTTTTATCTAATTGTTGTATTTATTTTTACGAGTGTGTCAATTATTTATTTCTCTTTGACAATTAATTAAGGCAAATCCCACAATGCAGTGCGCAGGATTAAAAGTCCCATCAGCCATTGCA